TCCTCTAGCCTTAGGAGCCTTCTTTGCTCTTGTGCCTGCAGAGCATGGACCAGCTCAGTCAATGTGATCTAAGTCAGGTCCTTTGAGTCCTCCAAGGATGAGATTTTGGCTTCAAACCTTTCCGGCAAGCTCACCATTACCTTCTCCACTATTCTGCTGTCTAACATCTCCACTCCGAGTAATCTGATTTTGTTGACAATGTTCATCAGCCTGTCAACATATTCTTTCACTTTCTCAGCCTCTTGCATTCTTAAAGATTCAAACTCCCTTCTCAAATTCAGAACCTGCATGTTTCTTGTAGTGCTACTTCCCATGAACTCTTCCCTCAACTTGTCCCATGATTCCTTGGCTGTTTCACATGCCATAATCCTTGTGAAAACAAGGTCTGTGACAGCTGAGTGGATGTGGGACAGGGCTCTTGGAGCCTTTGATTCTTCCTCTTCATGCATTCGAATTTGATTGAGAGTGGGATTTGGTCCTAGCTGAGGGGGGTTGTCTCTCTTCCTCTACATACTGCTAGAGTCCTTGGTCCCTCAGGTAAGCCTTCATTTTGACTGACCAAATATGGTAGTGTTCACCGTTGAACACAGGAGGTAGAAGGGAAGCTATTGGAGTAGTCATTTTTCCAAAAAAACCAGGTCTGATGTAATGCAGTTTCATGGAGAGCTGGATGAGTTGTTTTGGAGAAGAAATGTTCAGTTTATTTGGTTGGAATCAACGAAGCTCTGATACCATGTTGTTGTTTATGCATTGGAGTTTAACAAAGAAAAGAAAGAGAGCTGAACTGAATGAAGAGAGTTGCGTTTTCTGGATTACAAAATGTGTTTTCATTACAGCTCATAAAGCAAAGTTTTACACTGACTTATACCTACTTTGCAGACATATAATAACTTAAATTAATCCTAAGCCACATATTTATTTTTATTTATTACTACTGCATTAGAACATCCCTTACAATCTGGAATGCGTATCACACTTTTACAAAATGAGCTAAACATGCAACATATCAAATACACACCTGGCAGACTTCAGTTCAGGTTTTGCCACCAACACACATTCAAAAAAATTTAACTAAACTGCTGCATTTCCAGCCATGCATCAACGTTCAATAGTTACTATGTTTTGAAAAGTGAGGAATTGAAGTCAACATTGTTGCTTTGTAGTCTAATGAAATATTCTGGTGATGTTTCCATTATGGAGTTGTTAAAATATGGACTGGGTTTGGGCTTATTTAAAGAAATTGGTACTTTGGAAGAAGCACGAAATCGAGTATATGCACTGGTCCATGAACTCAAACGTTCTAGTTTGTTGCTTGACAGTCATTCCAGTGAATGGTTTTCTATTCATAATGTTGTTCATCTTGTTGCCCTATCCATTGCATCTAGAGATCAATATGCACTTACACTCAGAAATGAAGATTTAGATTGGCTAGATAAGGATGCACTTAGAACTTGTGTTGCAATCTCCATACATGATATTAATATTAGAGAACTTCCTGAAGGTTTGGATTGTCCACAACTCAATTTTTCTATCTAATTGCTAGGAATCCTCTTATGAAAATTCCAGAAAATTTCTTCATAGTAATGACAAATCTCAGTGTCCTAAATTTGACCAAAATGCACTTATTGTCACTGCCTTCATCACTTCGTCTCTTAGTAAACATTCAGACATTGTGTTTAGAGAAATGCATATTGGGAAACATAGCTGGTATCGGAGTCTTGAAGAAACTAGAAATCCTTAGCTTATCTCATTCTGATGTAAAGTTGTTGCCTAAAGATATAGGTTAGTTCACTCAGCTGAGGATGTTAGTTGTGGGTAATTGTTCCAAACTAAAAGCTATTTCACCAAATGTTATATCAAGTTTAACTAATTTAGAAGAATTGTATATGGGTAATAGCTTTGCACAATGGGAAGTTGAAGGGCTGAACTTTAAAGGAAGAAATGCTAGTCTTAATGAGTTAAAGCATTTGTCTGAATTGACATCTTTAGAAATACATATTAAAGATGCCAAGATTGTGCCAAGAGATCTTTTTCTAATTAGTTGAAAGGGGGTAGAATATTCATAGTGATGAATGGGACTGGTTTGGTGAATATGAGACTTCAAGAACATTGAAACTCAAGTGCTACACCGGCATTCTAGAGTATGGGATTATTAGGAAAATGAATGGAATTGAAGAACTATATTTAAATGAATTGCAGTGTGTAAAGAATGTTCTTTATGACTTTGATGTAGAGGGCTTTCCACAATTGAAGCATCGCCACATCCAGAATAATTTCTCCTTTCAATGTATTGTTGATGCAAAGTACCATTATGTTGCTTTTCCCTGCTTGAAGTCACTGTTTCTAAACAATTTGATCAATTTGGAGAAGGTATTTGAAGGTCAATTCGCTGCAGTGTCGTTTTACGAATTAAAGATCCTGCTTGAAGTGATTGAATGCAAGAATGCGGTTGAGATTTTAGTAATTGGAAGTAAAGATGACATAGACAACTATAGAGTGAATGTACGCTCCTTGACTTTGAAATCTCTTCCAAAACTCAGAAGTGAACGAAATAGAGACAGCAGCGAGAACAAAACAACAATAAAGCAAATAACAGATAATAAACACAGAGAAAGTAACATGCGCAATTTATCCTGGTTTACCTAATGTGGGCTACGTCCAGCCGAGTCAATATTATTGTAATATTTCCTCATCTCTCTCTCTCTCGTTTACAATGAATGAATTGCCCTATGATTTGCTATCACACTCATAACAAGAGAAAAATATGTTTATATACTAGGTTTAAGTGAGTAAACCTAGTTTACAAGGATTCTTATTCCTAAGCCCAACCCAAGAAGAAATTAATAACTTAAAGAATTATATATGGAAAATGCCCAAACCACTTACGGGACCCCTGAATGCGTCTGCGTAACCCAATAATGCTGAAGTAGTTGACATCTCCAACAAGAAGCTATTGCTTAACATGTCTAATGCTAACATTTTGGAGGATGAGCTTGATTCAAATATGCCACTTATTGAAAGGGTAATTTAATATAACATTCTTCTTCCTTTTTTCTTAATAAGCTTTTTTTCATTTTTTTTCTACTTCTCCATTTATCAACAAATATTGGAAAAATAATTTTTTTGGGGGAAAGTAACTGGAATCTTAACCCTGAGGGGATGTCATATGTCCCTTCATTACTTTTTCGATTTATGCATAAGAATATTGAAACAATAGCTTTCTGCAGGTTAAGTTTACCTTCTTGGATTTGTTGAAACTGGTTGAAATTAATATTCAAAAAATTTGGCACGATCTACTTCCATCAAATAGGTCTCCTTCCATTCAAATCTTGACACATTTGATATTGCAGGGATGTGGTAAATTAGAATATATATTTTCATCTTCTATATTTAGAAGTTTTGTGAATCTCTTACACCTTGAGATATGCCATTGTTCTGTTTTGAAAGAGATAATAATCATGGAAGAGGCAAGAAAAGACAAAAGGAATGAAAAAATCTTCCACCGTTCAGACTGCCTAGTGATAAAAGATCTGGTAAAACTTTCAGGATTTTGCTCAGGAAATTACATCGAATTTCCATCCTTGAAAAAGTTGGAGATAGAGGAATGCCCTCAATTCAAGGCATTTGTCTTAACAAGCATGAAAACAAACTCAGAGGAGACTCGACCTTCATGGAAAAGGTACAACACATTAAATTGTTCACTTTGTTATTGCTATCCTTAATTTCTTGTTGTACTAGTCTTATTATCTTCTAGATCTTAATTTGTCTTCATAGAAGTTTTTCAATTACTTCCACTAGAACTGGAATAATATATTTACTCTGTGGCATGAGTCCTAGAGGTTGCATTGCCAAACGTAAAGGAAATGGTAATTTCTGGCATGGATAATTTGAAGATGATATGGAACAACCAAATCTTGCAGCATTCTTTTCGAAAACTATATTTCATGGAAATCAAGAACTGTGATAAGTTATTGTCTATTTTTCCTTCCAATAAGTTTGAGAGGTTCTGGCAGTTAGAATCACTAACTGTTACTGCGTAGAGATATTTGATCTCCAGAGGCTAATTTTCAAGAAAGACATTCTAAAGCTCAGTTAAAAGAACTGTGTATCCATGGTCTACCAAAAGTGACAGAGGTATGGAAAAAGGATCCCCAAGTAATGCTTTCCTTCCCAAGCTACAAAAAGTGAGAATTTCTGGATGTCAGAATCTAGATAATCTATTCTCAGCCTGCATTGCTAGGAACCTTTTGGAACTTCAAGAGCTTGAGATGGTTAATTGTGGAGTGGAGGAGATTGTTTTGAAGGAAGAACGAGCGAAGGGAACTGTTAAGTTTGTCTTTCCACGAGTAACCTTCCTCAAACACTCTATGCTTCAATGACTTAGATGTTTCTATCCAGGTATACATACTTCAGAATGGATGGAGTTAAAAAAGTTGGAGGTGTATGATTGTGACAATGTGAAGATATTCACTTCAGAATTTCTTAGCCTCCAGGAAACTAATGAGTACCAACTTAATGTGCCAACAGAGCAGGCCCTCTTTTTGGTTGAAAAGGTATGAGACCTATCTGTTTTTGTCCTTTAAAAATGTATATAGATATAAGACGGAAAATTCCATCTCATTTAACAAAATGATTTATCTTTTAATTTCCAAAGGTAATTCAAGTATAAATTTTTTGATAATTTAATAAAATGTTAACTATAAATCTGTCTAATTGTGGTAGCTTGAAATCATTTTTTGATAGTCTATTTATGACATTGTCAAGAGGAACCTCAACTTCAATTTGCTCTTGTTTATTTGGTAACTAGGTCTTCCCTAATTTGGAGGAACTAAAATTAGGAGGGAAGGTCTTGGAGATGATATGGCAGAACGCATTTCCAAAACACCTATTTCTCAAACTTGAAGTTCACATTGTGAAAGATGAATCGGATATTTTTCCACTTCATTCCCTTCAGGGATTTCACAATCTGGAAAAGTTCATTCTGAGTCAGAGTCATGCAAAGAGATATTCTCACATGAAGAGGTGGAGGGACATGCCAGGATGTTGACACAGATTAAAGATTTAAAGTTGTTTGAACTGTCTAATCTACAGTGCATGCGGAAACAAGAATCAAAACTGGGCACAGTTCTGCAAAATCTTGATATTCTTGAAGTATGGTGGTGCGGCAATTTGATTAATTTAGTGCCATCCTCGGCATCTTTCCACAATCTAACAGTTCTAGAAGTGTGGTTTTGCAAAAGATTGAAGAACCTAGTAGTATTTTCAACCGCCAAAAGCCTGGTGCAACTCAAAGAAATGAAGATATGTGTATGCGAAATGATGACAGACGTGGTACCAAATGAGGGAGATGTAATGGAACCTGAGATTAACTTTTGCAGATTGAAGACCTTGACGCTTTTTGCTTTAGTAAGTCTCACTGGCTTCTGCTCTGGGAATTCTACTTTAAAATTCCCATCTTTGGAAGAATTATTTGTAATAGAATGCCCCAATATGAATATTTTCTCAAGAGGAGTCTTAAGTGTACCAAACTTGCAAGAAGTACAGCAAAGTTGGGCAGCAGATGTATGGTGTTGGGATGGTGATCTTAATACAACCATTCAAAATTTGCATTATAAAGTGGTATGTATGATTTTCTGAGCTAATCCCCTCATTTTTTTTTTCATTTTTTTTGGACTTTGGAGCAACTTTTATAAAATGTTGTTCAAATTTTCTATTGTGAGTTCCTACATGCACCTATAAATGCTATGCTTTATGATTACAGAATGCCAAAACTTCTGGAGAAGATTGAAGTCATCTTTATGTAGTTTGTGAGATATTATGGTTGTGTTCCTTCTGTTCAAGTTTGATGGTGAGAACCCTTTTGTTTGTATCTTCATTGTTCTACTTCAGATTTCCTTCATGGTGGCGTTGATCCTTAAAGGTTTTAAAGGTAGTTCTGTTTCCCTCCTTTGATAGTGTGAGGTTGAATGGTGGAAGGTTTTCATTAACGCTATAGTTTGTATTCACCCCCTGCTGCCTTATTCATGGGCACTCAGAAGATTTGAAGTACTTCTTGACGTTTGAATTTTTCCTTTGTGCTTGGCTTGTATTACATGTAATGAAAATTCTCTTTCTTAACCACAAAGGTCTCTTGATTGGCTTACTCAGAAACGCAAACTCAAGCCTATGCAAAAACATGGAAAATGGCAGACATCTTACCAGCTTCAGGTAAATGTAAAATTCATATTGTATTTCTGTCACAGAAAATGCTGAATGTTTTTAGATGTAACTGCATGAATTGAATTTTCAAAAAGTAGCAGCATCTTGAGCAAGAGAATAAATCAAGATTGAAACTTCACATGCTTTTGGAATCAAACTGTAAGCAAATATGTGGAATATAGTTGATTATCCTAAAGCTATGACTCTAATGTACCCACCAACTTTTCTCTGTCTTTACTATCACATCTTTGAATCTGGAATCAATACAAGTATTCTTCTAGTTATTGGAAAAAAGAAAAAAAAAAAAAAATGGGGGTGTAATAATATTTGTTTTTATCATACTTTTCTGAGAAATCATAGGTTCTCATATAAGGTTTGTTTGTGCAAAAAATAGAGATCGTCCAATTCTCTTATAAGCTAAGGTCGATTTGTTTCTCTAAAATCATAAAAGGTGAAGTGTAATGTTTGAAAGGGTGTTAGTAGAATTGTCAATGTGAGCTTTGTTATGTTTATGTAAATGTTTGAGTAAAGACTTAGAAACAAGCCTAGAATCGAAATATATGTGTAGTTTTTTGTGTATATTGTCAACTTATTGGCCGGTATATGTAGAGTCTTGGCTCGAGCGATTAGTGAACCATGTTCCTGAGTTCATGTATAGTTAAGTTGGTGCTCACTATTGGGCTATTGGGCCGTCATCCCTTTGTGGGATTTATGCTGGTCCCAGCCCAGTTACTTGGCCTTAACCAGGATGTAAGAGCCTTATTGGGCCCACTTTCTAGCCCATAAGTAACCTCCTTTCTTGGGCCAGGTTTTGCAGGAATGTTATTTAAACCATATAGAAACTCTTTCTAAACCCCTTTTTCTATAAATTGTATTAAAAGAATAGTCTTTGACTTTATTCCAAAAATGCCATTCTCCCAATATTTCTTTGGGTTTTCTATAGTAAACACTGTATGTTTGGCCTTTTTTGTAATCACCCGTTGGTTTCCGAAATGTGATCCTAAACCCCGTGTATTTATTTTTGTTTTCCTATTTCTTTCTTCTTGACTTCTTTGGTCCTGGGAGTTTCAGTTTTGCGTGAGAAAGAGAGAGAGAGAGAGAGAAAAAAAAAAGACTTTTATATTCCCTTTTGTTAAACCTTGTTAATTATTGTGCACATGAACATTTTTTCTTCATTGAAATCCAAAAGGATGCATAGACGAGATGAGTGTATTTAGAAGAGATTGAAGGAGATATAGGGGCTGGTGTTTTTCTATCTTATATCTGAATTTACTTAATTACAAGCTAAAACATGACTTTTTTGCTAAAATTAAGTGAATTGAAAAAGTGAAAATTTATCTTTGCACTTAATAAAAAAAGTTTGAATAGTTTATTTTTTAACAATATTATCCTTATTCAAAATTTATAATTACACTTATACCCATTTAAATGACTCTTTTAACACTTTTATCATAAGGTCAATATTTTTACTTCTGATCTATGCCTTTTTTTTTTCTATCACATTAAACTTCTTAATCAAACATTTAAATTCAACAAGATATTTTATATTATATTTAAGGTTATAAGCTTGAATATTATGTAAAATAATACCACGATCGCCAATAGTAGAGTTCTGATCTAAGTATGTTTGTGAAAAAATAGAGGTGTCCAATTTTCTCAAGGGCTAAGTTTGATTCAAAGAATAAGTCTAATGTTAGAAGACGTCAATAGAATAATCGGTGTGATGTTTTAGTAATTGTATGTGGGTGAAGACCTAGAAATAAGCCTTGAATGGAGTATTATGTATAGTTTTTGTGTGTAATGTCAACATATTGGCTCTATACATAGGATCTTGGCTCCAGCTGATGGTGAACCATATTTTGAGTTTGTGTATAGTTAAGTGGCCATTTCCTTAGACATAGAGAGTGATTGTTTCACATGACGGTTTCACTATTGGGCTAATGGGCCGTTACTCCTTTTTGGGTTTTTGTTGGTTGCAGCCCACATATTAGGCCCAGTTAACTGTCCTTTAACTAGCATGTATGAGCCTTATTGGGCCCAATTTTAGCCCATAAGAGATATCTTTTGGACAAGACTGTCCAGTTTTTTTAAACCTCGTGGGCTATCATCTTCGGCCCGCTGGACCTTGTATTTTACCCCAAAATTCTCAAAATCAGATTCGCCAGGTACAAAATTCTTATCCGATTTGTCATATACTGAAAGAAATGTGGATTTGATAGAAAATTGCGTTAAAGAGTGGCTGATTAGCGTCGACAAGCTCATCGATATGGCAAGCATGATTATTGAAGATGAGTGGAAAGGAAATAAGAGATGTTTCGGGGTGTTATTTCCTAATTTTGGATCCTGTCATCGGCCAAGTAAAAAAGCCGCGAGGAAAGTTAAGGCTATGGTTTTTCTCCTGCCTCAAGGAGAAAAAATCCTTAAAATCTCCTCCCGCCCATTCTAGAGGAGATTTCCAACTCGATTACTTCAAAGGCTTTGCAGGAGTGTTTGATAGAGTTTGTTAAACTATCATTACGCCCAACATATGGATTACTTCTACAAAAGTTTACAATACCTTTTCCACTTTTAAGAGTTTATCTTGCGAACTACGGGTTGATTTTGTCAACATGATTGGGAATTATGTTTACGGAATGAGTGGCATTAGCAAGACGTACGCTAGTGAAGCAAGTTGCTGGTCGAGCCGAGACAGACAACTGAGACAAGCTCTTTAAGGTTGTGGTTTTGCAGAGGTAGCCCCTGAATCCAAACATCAGAACAGATTCAAGAGGCATTGCAGATCACGTTAGTCTGATGTTCTGTGACAAGGATGCGAGGGAAGTGCAATTGTGCTAATTAATCGATGGAGGTAGATGTTGGCGTGAGCTGTCATACAAGGATCATATCAGTTTATTTATAAAAAGTATTTCATTGTAAAATCCCTTTCTTAAAAGGTCAACCATAATTATAGCCTTAGATCATGTATATCCTAGAATAGCTTACCGTGTATCTACATATACTTGCGTAATCTGCTACAGGAATTATAATTGAAAACAGAAACTTTTGACAGTAGATCCCTCAGGAAAATACCAGTAGAGCTAAGACATAATCTGACAAAACGTTATTGGAAGAGCAAGCCCAGGCAGGTCAGCTGGCGAGTTAGCGAAGAAAGCATAACGAGGATTAGAGTTGTTAATCTTACTGGAGCAGAGGTGGTGGTCGATGATGGCTGCGAGGAACTCAATGCTTGTGATTGCGACAACTGGGTGTAACTTCCCAAACAAAAAGTCACAGATAATAATACAACTCTTTACTCAAAATCATACACCAATCTTAGAAACAAATTATAGAACAAAACTTGCTTGCCACCTGGAGTTATGTAACTTCCCAAACAAAGTCACAGATAATAATACAACTCTTTACTCAAAATCATACACCAATCTTAGAAACAAATTATAGAGCAATACTTGCTTGCCAACTTCATAAACAATGAGCATAACTCCGAAAAGGAAACTCGTAAACTTGGCATTGAAATCCTGCAACAAGCCCCTGAAAATGATTCACTTAGATGAGTAGTACCTTTTTACCACCCGCAAATCCACGCCTGCAAACAGAGCAAACTCAAAGAAGCTATGCAAATCAGTCCTGTAAACTTTGATGATTGTCATCTAAAAGCACAGCAAAGAAATACGTCTAAAAAGTTGTCTTTGATAGTTTGATTTACCTTATGTGGATCTGTGCAGATTTCCAAAACGGATTTTAGTGGCATTGCCATCATGCGGCCAAACCAACTGATCCCACAGATTTTGATTGCAGTAGATATCTTTCAATTTCTCTGCGCCCTGGAAAGTAGATGGGAAATTTTTTAGCTCCATACATGCATCAATCGTCAATGTCTCCAAAGAATCACATTTCAATGACACATCACGGCAAATCTTAGACAATAAGGCAAGCTTAATGAGTTCCAAATTCTTCAATTTAGGAAAGGCACTGGATTCAAATTCAACTCTACTTCCATCCTTGATAATTTCTTTAATGACTTTGCATTGCTCAATTTGCATATACTGCAACTCCTTAAGTTGTACAGCCACTTTCTCAGAGAATAAAAATTCCAGCATAGGGCATCCTTTTAGCTTTAAATTTGTGAGCTGGATAAGACTCAGCTCTGGTATTACTGAATTTTTCCAAATGTGCTCCAATTTTAGAAGACCATCTATGTACAACCTCTTTAGGCATTGAAACGCGGCGCCGTCACCATCAATAATGCTTGTCATTTCAGGACAATCTTTAATTTCACAAACTTCAAGCCCTTGTAGATTATCAGCACTAAACACTGATAAGTTGGCAGCTTTATGAGCAATTAGCTCAAAAGACGATGCTTTCTTCAATATCTTTAAAATTGCATTAGGAAAGGCTTCACCTGTATGAATATAGAGTCACATAAAGACGAATATAAATTAAATTCTGTTCATCAAGTATTTAGTAAAAAAAATTAAAGTACAATTTTTTTTTTTTTTAAATTTTTTAAGCCAACGTCACAATAAAAAAATGCAACTGATTACTGAATAGAATAAATTTTATCCCTCAAAATGCATATAATATATAAACAAAAAATAATAATAATTACAAATGGTGATAATATAAACCATAAATGAATTAGATACAAAACAAATTATCCACATATTAAAATCAAACCATAGCCTTCAATACCAAAAATATAAAATGGACTGCTTTTGTTGTAATTTAATGAGAAAAAAAAAAACACCTGCTGAGAATCTCAAACGCTTNTTTTTTTTTTTTTAAATTTTTTAAGCCAACGTCACAATAAAAAAATGCAACTGATTACTGAATAGAATAAATTTTATCCCTCAAAATGCATATAATATATAAACAAAAAATAATAATAATTACAAATGGTGATAATATAAACCATAAATGAATTAGATACAAAACAAATTATCCACATATTAAAATCAAACCATAGCCTTCAATACCAAAAATATAAAATGGACTGCTTTTGTTGTAATTTAATGAGAAAAAAAAAAACACCTGCTGAGAATCTCAAACGCTTTTCAGCTGACCATCTAAAGGCATCAAATTCAGTAAGAGAATTTTCTTGCTGCTGACCAACAATGATCTTGAATGATCTGAGTCTTTCAGGTCTCCACTCATTGTTCAAATTCCACGACATACTTGTACGAATAAATGTCTCAAAGCTATTCACTGTAGGAAAGTAGAAACAGAGAGTGGTCAATTCTGTAAGAGCAGCAACTTCCGCAACAACACTCTCTACAATTTGATTCCATCTTCCATCAGTTGGATTCACATCAATACCCAACTCTTCCAGTGAATGAAGCCGTGCAAGAACATTAGGAGAAATCACCTGCCTCGCCTGACCATTAACACGGTCTTCATTCCCGACACCATTCCTAATTGAAACTCTCAAACACTTAAGAGTAGTCAAATTTCCTCCTACCAGAGGCAAATTATAAATTCCAGTATGACGTATGTCCAGAATCTCGAGATTATAAAGGTCTCCTATCTCATCACAAAGCACTCTTAATTGATCACAATTCTTTAGGAACATCGCTTTGAGATTTCTGAAACTGGAGATTGATGATGGAAGAGTTTCGATCTTAGCTTTATACAATTCAAGAAGTCGAAGGAATTCAAAATATGGTGATGGAATTTGTGGAAAGCAACTAATTTTTTGAAGTAACAATGTCGAGAATCTTTTAGAATTGGGCTCATTTGGCAAACAGGATAGGAATGAATCACCAGTCACTAAGATCCTTGACTCTTGAACACAATTGTTGTCGTCTCTGGCAATTCTAGGCGCGACTCGTCGATAAAACTCGAACATCTTATATTGAGCCTCCTTCGTCCCCTTTTCCAAAAGAAAATGGTTGACAAAGTGCACCAATAGACTACACCCATAGTTACGTGCCCCACCAAGCTCTACGAAATCGTTTAAGAATTGCTCCGCTCTCCAACATTCAATTATATAATCATGAAGAAGTTCATGGATAGAGGGAAAACTTGCCAAATATAGAAAGCAAGACTTGTCATCTGGTTCCAGCTTGTCAATTTCAAATTTAAGGGACTTGTAAACTGTTTCCAAATCTCCCTTTGGTTTCCCCCTTGGTGATGTCAATAGATCACATGTGCTTCGCCATATCGCTTCACAGTCTACATTTTCTGCACGAGTCATTACACTTAAGTAATTTCCTATCAACTTTATCAGGTATGGCATGCCACTGCAGAACTTAATAATCAATTCTGCCTGTGTCTTGATGTGTGGATTATACTTCAAATCCATGCCCACTCTATCCCAAAACATAGTTTGGGCATCCGTGCCCGACACTCTCTGCACTTCTATCTCTTCATTCGTCCCCATACAAACTTGTTTATACCTCGATGCAATGACCACCTTTCCTTTGTGTTCATCATTAATCCCTACTTTTTCCAAATCAATATTTGAAAAAACGTCATCAAGCAACAATAAATACTTCCGGTAGTTCTTCAGCTTTACATAAATCATGTTTTTTAGTTCTTCATCACCGAGTTCTTTCGGATTTACTTTCAGCCGCTTCAGAAGCTCTTCTTGTATGTATCTTTTATCTCTATCTCTGCTTACCTCTATCCAAAACACAATGTCAAAGTCTTCAGGTACCTTAATTTCTTGCCGTAGACGATTCATATCGTACTTTTCCCCACTCCTATTAGTCCCCATATGCAAATTGTTTTGAGCTTTTCATTTCTCAAATACTCTTGTAGCTTTTTTACATTTTCTCCAACTGATGGGAATCTGTTAATTTCATCGGTAGGATTGCTTGTACATGGAGGTGGTGCCAAGACTCCTGGATCAACCTCACGTCAACACCAGTAGCAGGGCAAATACAGAATCTCTTTGTGACAATGGAATCACTCCAAAGAAAATTCAAATTCGTTGCATGGTCAAAAACTGCCTTCATTATCTCCATTCTTCCTTAAATAACAAACCAATACTACAATCTCCAACTCCAACTAGGAAAGCAATAAACTAGGAAGAAGTAAACTAGGAAAGCAATAAACTCGGAAGGAAATAAACAGAACAAAAAGAACAGAATTGCGACAAATACATAAGCTTCCTAAAAATCCTCTGCATATCATAACAGCTCCATTGTTTACGGAATTATGGGGTATCCTTCTCTAGATTTGCATCAATTGCCGGCTCTCCTGAAGAACTTCACTCTGGCAAGTTTTGACGAGGGTAAACAGCAAAGAGATGTGGATGTAAACGCTTGATTTCTGAAGCTTGCAACCAAACAGAGTCCGAATTTGGACGATTTTTCCACTGCACTAAGAACTTGTAATATCCGCCTCGACGAGTTGTAACAAATTGATGGTCAAGAGTGGCAACAATCTTGTCTCGCAGTGCTGTAGTTTCTGGAACTCGGAGAATTGGTGTTACCTCTGGAACCGGTATTACGGAAATTTAATCGACATCACCCATGAACTCCATAAGGTCTTCTATGTTGAAAACGGGGCTAATACCAAAATTAGAAGGTAAGTCAATAACATATGCATTAGTGTCCAACTTCTTGGTTACTCTAAAAGGACCTGCTCGGCGTGCATGAAGCTTGGTAAAACTCCTCGGAGGGAAAAGCTCTGGCCTGAAACGAACAAGAACCATATCCCCTTCATTAAATTGCCGATCCTTGCGTTTTGCATTTGCTGAAGCTGCATAAGAATTTGTATGGAAGGTAAGGCACCGTTTGCATTCATCATGGACATCTCGCATATAGCTAGAAAAATCCNAATTGAGCATTAATTTTAAGCAGATAAACATAAACGATGTCTTATATTTCAAAACAAAAATTTCGGTAAATCGTAATTTTATAAAGAATGAAAGGAATACACCTAAAGGGGGAAATCTGCCTAGCACCCTGACCTTTGAGACATAATCAAGGATCAAGGGAAAGCAAAAGAACCAAGCAAGTTGGCCCAGACACCCCCGTCACCCAAAAAAAAAAAAAAAAAAAAAAAAAGATTCAGGCAAAACAAGGATGTACAATTTGTAGTTCTACCCATATTAATTTTAAACATTACAAAACTAACGCAATATTGTTGGATAAAAGCTAAACCATGTCATTTTTTTAGTACTTAAGTACTGCAGCTTAAAGTGATTGTAAAAGCATAAAGTAAATCAAAATGTTGTCGTTTTTGTATTATAAGAAATTATTTACAAAATTGTTATTAAACTCACTACAAGAACACCATTCCCCATCACCATCTCGACCTGACCCTGCCCTGCCCTGACCCTTATAAGAAAAAAGTCACCTTGAATATCACAACAATAGCAAGCATGTCCAACAATGTCTGTCTCTCAAAGTAAGGCAAATTATAAGGCTTTAAGATCACTGTTGCCTTCTATGAACAATATGAATACAAGATTCAGTCATGTTAATTATTAAAATTGAAGACGGTACCATAAATAGGCACTTAGAAAATGCAAAATGAATGGCTAAGCTTAGACTTTAACAGTTTCATGTAACTTAATTCATAATTGTGTTTTTAGTAGCTATTACATCTAAAAAAAAAATTAATCTTATTTAATAATAATCGAATTCTACTTAGCATTAACATTTTCCAATTTAGATACCATTTAACAATGAATGTCATACCTGCTGGGGAGCTATGTTGATATTAAAAAAGTTATACCATAGTGCACTCACATTTGTTGTAAAGCTCTCATCCCAATATGTGTACTTTAAACCTCCAAGTTTTCCTGTTTCAGAGAGCTCTTGAATAAAATTTGATAATCCGAGGATTATACTGTTTTATTTAGGCTTTTTGGCTGAATTTTGGATACTTCTTATGCCGTTTTTGCCTGAATTGCAACTTAATTTCACATATTTTATGTTTCAAGCCAAAACGTGCACTTTGAGCAAATAATGAGCGGAATCGAATTCCTGGACCTAGAAGCGAGCGAATCTCAGAATTCGGAGAAGTTCTAAAGCGGATTTGAAGCATTATGAATCTTGTTCCCATTGGAAAGCACCGAAGATAGAAGATTCAAGCAAGGAAGCAAATGAAGGGCAATTCCGTAATTTCAGAATTGTTCAGTAAGGTTCGCCGCGGCGATAAACTCTCAGGAATTCGTTGCTGCGGTGAAGTTTATTCTTCGTCGCAGCGAAGTCTGCGATTTTCAGTTTTTAATTAAAACACAGTTTTATTTTAGGAAAGTTTTTAGGTTTTGGGACCAACTATATATGAAAAACTTGAAAATTTTGAGAAGGGTTCGTCTGGGTTTAGAGCAGCTTTGACATCTTGCGGAGAAAGGAAGAGAAGAATTGAGATTTAACCTTGTGGATTCATCAATTAGGGGAGATCTTTACTCTTTTCTCTTTGTTTCAACATGTTGACTGCTGTATTTACTATTTTTCTTGTGATTTGTGTTAATTTTGTTATGAACTAACTCATTTTGGGTTAGGGTTTTGATGTAATTCGGATTTCTATGGTTAATAAATAGATTATTGTTGCTTTTACATTCTATTGCATGGATTGTGTGATTATTCTGATTTTTCTTTGATTTTATTTGTTGAACATGATGAGATTGAGAAATGAATCATGTTGAGCTTCTTGAGGAATCACCATTGTTGTATTGAACGCTAGAGATAGGTTTGAGAATCAATGAAATCAATCTAGGATTCCATTAGCTTAATGAACTTGGATCTATTAATCTTCAATTTGTTGGGTGCGGAAGCTTAATAGGGAAAAGTACGAATTTATAGCCTGAGAAGGTTTGTTTTACAACTTAGGGAATTCTATTTACAATCCGTGCATGTGAGTGTAGAAGTAGCATAATTTGTAGAATTAATCCATAGAGTCCTAATGAAGCCAAAATCCTAACCGTTTACTTTACTTGAATTTACTCCTACTTTAATCTTGCTTTCATTAATTAGCTTTTTAATACTTATTAGATTTTTCTTTCATTTTAGCTTTAGATTCTCCCATAAATCCAAACACTTTCGGTTTCTCCAACTTGAAAACAAATAGGAAAATCAGTGCTTAACAACCAATCCTCGTGGGAACGATACTTTACTTATCACTTTATTACTTTGTGCGACTAGTGCACTTGCTATATTGCATATTGTAGTAACAATGCATCAAGTTTTTGGCGTCGTTGCCGGGGATTGATTTTTGTGTTAACATTGAATTTTTCTTTAGTTAGCTAGATTGGAGTTTTATTTTTGTTTAATTGTTTATTGGTTTAATTTTTGCTGTTCTTTTCTGTTAGTTGGTGATCTCACTTTTTCTCTCTTTCTGTGTAGTTTATGCGAAGAGCTAGACGTCAACCAGTGGTTCTTGTAGATCCAGAGATTGAAAGAATCGCAAGAAGACTTGACAAAGAGAGAAGAGTACGAGAGGCCATAGTTGTTGAGATGGCAGAAAATAGAACATTAAGGGAATTCTCAATTCCCACGGTTGATGGCAGTAGGTCCAGTATAACTAGACCAGTAGTACAAGCCAACACTTTTGAAATAAAGCCGGCAATCATCCAGATGATCTAGCAGTCGGTACAGTTTAAGGGAGATTTGAAGGAAGATCCAAATCTGCACATTGCGAACGTTTTAGAGATTTGTGATACCTTCAAGTCAAATAGAGTGTCAGATGACGCCATCAGATTGAGATTGTTCCCTTTTTCATTGAGGGATAAAGCAAAGGGGTGGTTAATGGCACTACCACTAGGAACGATCACAACATGGAATGAATTAGCACAGAAGTTCCTGACCAAATTCTTTCCCCCAGCAAAATCTGCGAAGATGAGAAATGATATCACATCGTTTCTACAGGAAGAGTCTGAATCACTATATGAGGCTTGGGAAAGATACAAGGAACTACTGAGGAGGTGTCCACACCATGGGTTGCCAGTTTGGATGCAAGTCCAAACGGTTTATAATGGATTGATGGTTAATGTGCAAACAATGGTGGATGTAGCATCGGGAGGAGCATTGCAAAATAAGACACCTGAAGAAGCTCATGAGTTGCTTGAAGTTTTGGCAAGTAATAACTATCAAAGACCTAATGAGAGGATGCAGTCGAAGAAATATATGGGTCTTCATGAAGTTGATGATACATGGCTATTTGAGCCCAACTTACAGCATTTCAAAAACAGTTGGGAAGTATGCAGGTAAATTCTATTGAAGCACCTCAACTAACTTGTGATTTTTGTGTAGGTAGTCATGTGAGCAGTGAATGTCAAGTGGGGAACACGTTTGTTTCAGCTTCTTCATCATCAGAACAGGTTAACCACTTGGTAGGAAATCAAAGGCAACCGAACAATCCGTTCTCCAACACATATAATCCTAGTTGGAGGAATCATCTGAACCTATCTTGGGGCAATCAGAATCAACAGAATCAGCAAAACAATTAATGGAACCAAAGAACGATGCCAAACAACCAAGCGGGGGTGAACAATCAACCAGGAGAGCAAAGATTGACAAAATTGGAAGATATGTTCGGAAAGTTTATGCAAGAGACCACAGGTTTTATGAATGAGATGAGGATGAATTTTAGAAACCAAGGAGTGTCCATCCAGAACTTGGAGGTACAGGTAGGTCAATTGGCCGATAAGCTCAATGAGAGACCATAGGGTTTCGTACCAAGTAACACAGTGACAAACACACGTGAACAAGCAAATGCAATAACACTACATAGTGGGACAGTCTTGGAAGAGGTGGAACAATCAGGGAAAGAAGGAAGCCTACCAAAAGAAAAGGAAGATTCCGATGAGGAAGTTGACGAAGAGATAATTGCTAAAGAGAAACCAACCAGTCTTAAGGAAGATGAACAA